CTGGACCATCAGTTCTGGGGTGAGGCGGTGCTAACAGCAGCCTACCTGCAGAACAGGCTGCCATCAAAGTCGGTCGATGCTACTCCATTCGAGAAGTGGCATGGAAGAAAACCCAAGTTGGATCACTTGCGGGTATACGGCAGCAGTGCGTGGGTTCACATCCCGTCTGTAAAACGTGGAAAGTTCGACAGTAAAGCCCAGAAGCTGGTGTTCATCGGCTATTCGGACCAACACAAGGCCTATCGGTTCGTAGATTTGGCAACTCAGAGTTGTGACGCACGGTTTCTAGAGTTGAACGAAGTGGATGTTCGAGCTGGCGGAGAAGAAGGCGTGGAAGAACAGGACGGTATTCCGTTCACATCGGCACGGCAACTGAAAGGGAACGAGCAACCGGACGCTGACCCTGTACCAGGCAAAGAGTGTGAAGAGTCCAATGACGAAGAATTTGGTGAGTGTGAAGAATACCCGGAAGATGAGCCAGAGGCGGCAGAAGATCCCCTGGAAATCAAAAGTGAACCGATGAGTGACAATGACAATGACAGTTTGATGAGTGACGATGATGATCAGAATCAAGTGAGTGAGACGAGCGGAAAGCGTAAGAATCGAGGAAAAATGCCCGACCGGTACTCTGATTTTGTTGTTGGTGCAGCCACGCAAATGGTGAAAGAGCCGGTGTCCTATGACGAAGTAGTCAGGTGTGCGGAACGTGATTCCTGGAAGCAGGCGATGGATGACGAAATCCGGTCGCATGAGCGTAATGGTACCTGGGAACTTACGGATCTGCCAACGGGACGGAAGGTCGTAGGAAGCCGCTGGGTGTTTAAGGTCAAGCAAAATGAAGCAGGACAGCTGACACGTTTCAAAGCTCGTGTGGTGGCCCAAGGTCACGTGCAGAAGTTCGGCGTCGATTATGACGAGATCTTTGCGCCCGTTACACGTCATTCACTGGTGATTGCTGGACGAGATCAGCTGATTTTGAAACACCTTGACATCAAAACAGCTTATCTATACGGTGACATTGAGGAAGAAGTTTATATGCGGCAGCCACCCGGCTACGCTGTGCGAGGACAAGAGAGGAAGGTATGCCGTTTGCGCAGAAGCATTTACGGACTTAAGCAGTCAGCGCGCTGCTGGAACAAGAAGTTGACCAGTGTGCTGAATGCAATAGGCTTCACTGCTAGTTCCACCGACCCCTGCTTGTTCGTCGCAACCCGGAATGGAAGAAAGGTGTATATCCTCGTATACGTGGACGATTTGTTGATCGGATGCGCAGTTGAGGAGGAGATTACACGGGTGTACGAAGAGCTGAAGCGCCACTTCGAGGTGAACTGGCTAGGTGATCCGAAGTTCTTTTTGGGATTGGAGATTTGCAGAGATGCAGATGGAGTGTTCAACTTGGGAGTACAGCAGTACATTCAGAAGTTGATTCGGAGTCTAGGACTTGAGAATGCGAAATCTGCGCGGACTCCAATGGATACCGGTTTCCTGAAGCTGGAGGAGAAAGGTGAAGAATTCACCAACAATACGAAATATCGTAGCGTTGTAGCAGCTCTCATGTACATCGTTACCTCCCAAGTAACCAAAAGTTCTGATAAAAGGCCATTTGTGGCTTAAGCAGCTTAGTTAGTGATGGTCTTTAGAATTCTAAGCAGCCTCATTTTTAAGTCGTTATAAGAACTTGAAAGTTCCAGTATCATAATTGAAGAGCATTCTAAGCAGCTTCTGGTGGAACTTGAACGGAACTTTTAGAAAATAAATAAATCAATTCTATGTTTAGTTCGCACTTTTATGAAAGTTATTTCTAAAGGCAGGTATTAATGTGTATTATTGATTTATCAGCGTTAGTAGTTTTGGAGCTGTTTGAAGAATTAAACCCAGTCCTTCTGCGTGAGAGCCCCAGCACGAACCGCTGCGTCATCAGAAATATATTAAAGTGAGCTGTTGTCCCGCCTACTGTTGGAGTTTTCAGTGCCAGCTGACTGACTTGCATACGAAACACAACACCTTGATGAATTTGAAATTGGTATTTTCCCGCATGGTATTTCAACACATTTGTGGCGCAGTGGTTAGCGTTAGTAGATCGCATGCCGAATACATGGGTTCGAATCCAGGAAATTACTTTTCAATTATTTTTTTTATGTTTTAATAGAATGTTGATGCACTGCATAAATATAAGAATTATGATTTATTCGGGCCACTGATCATTTAATATTTACGTACATTAAATTTTGTTACTAATAAAGACTTGTGCGGATTGCTTCATGTGGCTTGAAAGTTCTGTCGGAACTTTATGTGAACTTTATGAAACTTGAAAGTTCTGTCGGAACTTTATTTGAACTTTATGGAACTTGAAGGTTCGGTCGGAACTTTATGTGAACTTTATGCAACTTGAAAGTTCTGTTGAAACTTTATTTGAACTTTATGGATCTGGAAGGTTTGGTTGGAACTTTATTTGAACTTTAGGAAACTTGAAAGTTCTGTCGGAACTTTATTTGAACTTTATGGAACTTCTGTCGGAACTTTATTTGAACTTTATGGAACTTGAAAGTTCTGTCGGAACTTTATGTGAACTTTATGGAACTTGAAAGTTCGGTCGAAACTTTATTTGAACTTTATGCAACTTGAAAGTTCTGTTGGAACTTTATTTGAACTTTATGGATCTGGAAGGTTTGGTTGGAACTCTATTTGAACTTTAGGAAACTTGAAAGTTCTGTCGGAACTTTATTTGAACTTTATGGAACTTCTGTCGGAACTTTATTTGAACTTTATGGAACTTGAATGTTCTGTCGGAACTTTATGTGAACTTTATGGAACTTGAAAGTTCGGTCGGAACTTTATTTGAACTTTATGGAACTTGAAGGTTCGGTCAGAACTTTATTTGAACTTTACGGAACTTGAAAGTGATTTTAATCTTTGAATGCGGAACTTTTGGTTACTTGGGCTGTGCTCGACCCGATATCGCGACAAGTACTTCTATATTGGGACGAAGCTTCGAAACCCCGAAGGAAGGCGACTGGACTGCGGCCAAGCGCTTTGTCTGCTACTTAAAAGGGACAGCGGACTGGCGTTTACGACTTGGGGGAGAGGCGGCTTGCAAGTTGGAAGTGTTTTCCGACTCCGACTGGGCCGGTGATCCCAGGACCAGGAAGTCCATGACTGGATACGTGTTGTTCTTTGGAGGAGGAGCTGTGAAATGGACGAGCCGACGACAAGACTGTGTTAGCCTATCATCGATGGAGGCTGAGTACGTCGCCCTTGGTGAGGCGTGCCAAGAGGTGGTGTGGACAAGGCGGCTACTCCAGGATTTAGGCTAAAAGCAGGCAGACCCTACCTTGGTGTACAAAGACAATCAAGGGTGTTTGAGCGTTGTGCAGTCAGAGAGAATTAGTAAGAGGTCTAAACACATCGAGACTAAACAGTGCTTCATCCGTGACTTGGTTTAGCGTGGTGTGGTAAACCTAAAGTACTGCCCCACTGAATTGATGAAGCTGCCTGTATATCCTCACGAAGCCGCTTGGGGTGGTGAAGCACAACCGCTTTGCTGAGATGATCGGACTGGCGACTGATCGAGGGCATTACGTTGAGGAGGAGTGTTAGCCGATACAACGGTGCACCCCTCTATCATTCACCGTTTCTAGCGCTAGATCGCGCACTACTAAATGCCACTTTGTTTTCATACTCTTTGAACTTTATTAATGTCAACAAACGATTCGCAATGACCCCGCGTGCTTTTTAATCGTCTCCGATTGTTCTGTGTTTTTCTTGTTGCTTTATTCCTCCGAACGACGTGATTCCGCTTCGTAACCTGCCTCTGGTCTCACAAAAAGTGTAATAAAAGTGTACGTTTCCGACAAATCGTTTTGATGTCTTCGGAGCACATATTGCTTGCATCATAAGAAATAAGTGCACCGAAGACACCAATACGATTAGACGTAAACATATTTTCTTAAGCCCTTAACACATACGGTCAAACTTCATGTTTTTTGAAACCCAACGAAACATTTAATATTGAATTTAATAAACACTTAGGTACCTTGTAAAAATCACTGCTCCGGTAGTTGTTTTCATTTCCAGAGGAAATCAAGAACTGAATTGGCTCGGCTCATCCCTACACCTCTACAGTACAATTACTTAAAAAAATGAATAAATAGAATACAATAGTTATGAGTAATGCAGTAATGAAACGCATTTGCTTGTTAATATCTAAGAGGAAGAGGAGACAACTGGCTTCCTACTCTTTTATCTCTATCTCTATAGTGACCCTACATGTATCAATATATTGACGCGGTTTTTTTAATTTTGAAAAATATATCGGTTTTTATATATCATCTGAAAGAGCTTCGTTTTCTGAGCACAGCGATATTTTTTTTCAACCCCACGCACTTTCATCTCAATTTTTAAATCATGATTTAAAGCAAAATAATAACTTCACTGTTTGACACTAAACTGACAAACTGACAGCTCGCTCCCATACAAAGTGACACCGAGGGGCGCTAATTAGGTGATTTTTGCAAATGTAATCGTACTTATTTCAAATAGTTCCAGTGTGCCAAAATTGATGAAATTTTGGTATTGGGTTCCATTTTTAATACAGATTACGAATATGCATTTACCTCAATACCCTTAAAGAACCCAATTATTGAACATAATATTGATGATGTGAATTCAGAATTATTGTCAATACCAATGGATTGACGTCAATATAGAATTTTTGTTGACAATACGATTATTTTCGATAAAAGCAAACGTGTAGGGTCCACTTATCTTACACACTTTAAATCTGCCAATCACGAGCTGGTTCGCGTTTGTCTCCTCTTCTCTTAGGTTAATATCAACTATACTGTTGGATTGTACAACATATTACGTTACATTATTGGCAATGTGGACTAATCGGATTAATTAACATCTAACGTTGCGTGACAGTGCCGCCGCCGCTCCAAATAGCCACTTATGGTCATCCAATGACATTCAACAGCACGTGTTCACTTTATCTTTTGCAGCCGGAAATCGCCGTACGCCATGGCTATCCGGCCGAATCGCACACGATCAAAACGGCCGACGGCTACCTGCTCACGTTGCACCGGATTCCGTGCGGTCGGGCTGGATGCTCCAACGGGAATGGCAAAGGAACCGGCCAACCGGTGTTCCTCCAGCATGGGCTGCTGTCCAGCTCGGCCGATTGGCTGCTGAGTGGACCGGAGAAGGCGCTAGCCTTCATTCTGGCCGATGCCGGCTATGACGTTTGGCTGGGCAATGCCCGCGGAAATACCTACTCGAGGAAGCACGTTTCGATGAGCAGCGACGAGACGGCCTTCTGGGACTTTAGCTGGCACGAAATGGCCCTGTACGACATCCCGGCGGAAATTGACTTCGTGTATGCAATGAGAGGTGAGATCGGACCACGGTACGTTCTTCTTAGATAATGGTTGAAGTAATTTGGAATATTTTGTAGAAATGGAGCACAACGACACCAGGCGGAATCTGCTCTACGTCGGTCACTCGATGGGAACGACCATGGCATTTGTGATGCTCGCCAGCAAACCGGAATATAACGAAAAAATTCATGCACTGTTCGCCATGGCCCCGGTCGGCTTCATGGGACACGTGAAGAGTCCCATCCGGCTGCTGGCTCCGTTCTCGCACGACATTGAGGTAAGTTGGCTGCGGCTTATTCCTAAGGAATCATCACCAAACGAAAAACACTCATCTCGCATCTTATCCATGTTGCTCGCACGCTCATCCGCCGAGACAGATAGCACTAAATCAGTTCCCAACTCTTCATGTTCCCAATTGGGTAGACGGGGTCGCGACCGATATCCTCAAGCGGCTATCGTTGCGTCTGTTGGTGAGTTTTGCCAGATTTTTTCCTTCGACGATCGTTGTTAACCCTCACACACACACACACTTGTTTGTACATAGAACGCCTTCTTCTATACCTCTAACCCGCTTCGCTAACGTGCCTCCTCAATTGGGATCAGGAAGATTTTTTTCGGTTTTACCAGCTGCATTCCTTCAGTAATGCAATTTCTCCCTTTCCGCAGTTGATTCTGAAATTCTTCGGAGGGAACGAGTTCATGCCGCAGAACAAAATCATCCGCTACCTGGCCAAGTACGGGTGTGAGCTGACCGAGGCGGAGAAGTACATCTGCGAGAATACGGTATTCGTGCTGTGCGGCTTCGACAAGGAGCAGTACAACGCCACGCTGATGCCGGTGATCTTTGGCCACACACCGGCGGGAACGTCCACCAAGACGGTGGTCCACTACGCGCAGGAGATCCACGAGAGCGGTAACTTCCAACAGTTTGACTACGGGGAGGCGGAAAACCAACGGCGCTACGGGCAAGGGAAGCCCCCCAGCTACGAGCTGGACAACATCCGGACTCCGGTGGCGTTGTTCTATGCGAACAATGACTGGCTGGCCGGGCCACTGGATGTGGCCAATTTGTTCAACCGGTTGACCCGGACGACGATCGGGATGTTCAAGGTGCCGAACGATAACTTCAACCACGTGGACTTTCTCTGGGGCAACGACGCACCGGAAGTGGTCTACAAGCAGCTGGTCATGCTGATGCAGAGGTACAAGTAGGTGGCGGTGCATTTAGTGTAATTAGGTAGAAGAACGGGAAGCTCTCTTCTTGCTGGTAGGTACTGAAACGATGGAGATTGAAAATGTGGCATTTTTTTGTATCCTAACTGATTCGATGCTTTAATATTTTGTTATATTTTTATGCGGTAGATGCAGCGAAAACTGTAGATTTAGAATCATACTATATATTTGTAGATATTGGTTGGGCTTGTCATTCTATCCGAACTTCCGGCTAAGGCTTATCGGCGAGCTTATCGATGCCACGAAACTCGCTGGATAACTTCCACAGTTATTAGTTGAGGGCTTTCGATTATGCCTGTACCATTTTTGCATTAGTATATAATTGTGTGGCAAGTACAATCATACCCAGCGAAGTCGAGATATTTTCCAACCCGAAAAATGCCTAAACCGGACCGGGAATCGAACCCAGCCACCTCCAGCATGGTATAGCTTTGTGTACCACCAGCGTACACATTAGAAGAATATGTTGCCTGGTAGCTAGGCGGGGAATACAAAGGTGACACAGTAGGAAGAAGTGTTAGTTTGTTTACTAAAATGAACTATGCCCATTTTGTTATGGCAAGTTTTGCTATAAGAAATGCTCCCCGTGTTTATTAGCGAAATTCACATTAAAGGTTGATTAATTGCGTAGGAAATCAGTTTGGCACGGCATTTGTGACCAGCATACACCTTCCGGTCACATCTGACTCCGATTCGATGGTAAGTGATACGATATCGTCGGACAGTAACAATGAATAAAGGGTAAGTAAGCACTTGGCACAAATCGCATCAACCGTACGCTTCTTATATCAGATTTACCTATTTTAGAATTACCTATACTTCACATCAGAACCTCATTTCCTTCAATTACTACTCCGTCGCAGCACACACCTTATATAGATCGCTAACCTTTATTCAGTTTCAGCATTTTCGACATTATAATCAAAAGGTGAGTTTTAAAGTATAATTACCATACATAGAGATAAGTTAATGTACCAGAACCTAGACGGACACGAGCCTACCCAGGGGAGGACCCGGATACGACCACCCATGTGTGTCTAGAGTATGGCATGAGCTGACGAGTGCAACGGGAAGGACAGTAGGTTATAGACTAGGGGATTGGTCCCTAGATAAGCCTTCTTAGCGGAAGGCACAGCCTATGCACTGAACAATTACAATTACAATTGCAATGAGATATCATAATCATCAAACGAAAATTTAGACAGCCTAATGACATTAAGTAGATTGAAAGAGGAGTTAGAACATAGAGGTAACTCTAAGACCACTGGGTCCCGAAGAAAATCATTATTATTTTTGGCTCACTCAGTACCAGAACAACGGTCCCAAGCAGTCCCAAGCTATTTCACTCACCCCTGCATGTTCTGCATGAATGCACACACCCCTGATGTTATCTGTCAAACTTTCATAGCGAATCAAAACAAACATAGTGTAGTAATAGAATTTCAACTAGAATAGGGTACGTTAATCGTTTGCTTAGGACCAATAGGCTACTAAAGTAGTGAGCCAATTTAAAATCGTTAGTTTCGTATTGATTGTTGGTTAGAATGCGGGGGGTCCGCTTAGGGAGGCAACTAGCCTTTTCATATATTGTCTGTTTATTTTGATGATTGCTTTAAAATATCAATTTGGTATATAAAGTGAAAGGATGAATTAGTGGGAGATGGATTTAAGGTTTCTTTACATTTTGCAGCACAAATCTAGTACTAGGTGTCATTTCCTCAAAACCCCCCAATAACCGACCTCTTCAATCCCTTCATTTTCCCATGACGTTCAAGTTGTCCGCATCGACTATTCAGCCATTACCCTTCCTTTATCCTCGCCTTTGGATTGACTTGCGCTCCCATTGCCCTACCAAACGCTGCAAAATGAACATGAAAATGAAAACCACCGAAGAGACAAGTCGAAATATAATTAGCTCTTAAACCTAAAACTAGTTTCCTTCTCTTCGAGAACACAACATATTTTGGCGACGAGGTAAAGTTCCTGCGATTTTCTGGAAGTAACATGCCGTGGTAGTATTCCTCTGTTCCTGTTTTACCGTTGAAGCCCTCAAATCACTACAAAATCAAGAATGTCCGCCAACGATCTGAAGCAAGCAATTCTCCGGCTGACGGAACTGATCGGCAGCAGCAGCAGATTGGAGCCCTTCAACAGGTCAACGCCAATCAAGTTGGAAGCGAGAAAATCATCGAGTCACTCTACATCGTTATGATCCAGACGGAGGACTATTTTTCGAATCGTGGTACGCTCGATACGAGGCCGTATTCGAGGAGCACGGGAAGCACCTGGACGATAAAGCTAAGGTCAGACTGCTTCTGAGGAAAATCGGTACGTAATTCCACGAACGCTACGTGAACAGCGTTTTGCCGAATCTTAAGAAACTTAAGAAGCTCTTCGGACTCTAAAAGTCCCTCTTCAACGGACGTTATCAGTGTTTGCAGTACATCAAAAACGACGCTGATGATTTTTCGTCGTATGCAGCGTCGGTGAACAAGCACTGTGAAGCGTTCCAGATCGAGAAGCACTCCAGGGACCAATTCAAGACGCTCAGGTTCGTATGCGGTCTCCAGTCACCGCGCTATTCGGACATCCGGACCAGGCTGATTGGAAAGCTGGAAGCAGAAGAAAGTGCACCGCCGGCTGACGGTGCAGCGCTGAAGCTTGAAAACCTGGTTGAGGAGTGCAACCGCATTATCAACCTCAAGCAGGATACGAATATGGGCATGAGCATGAGCATGATTGACCGCCCATGGTTGCTACTCTGTTATTGCCAGACCAGCTGTAATTACACAGAAAACCTTGGGATTGCTTGGGACTAGCAATCATCCTCAATGTGTAAAAACTGGTGATCTCAAACTAGGCAATACCAGCGCCGGCCGCGCCCTAACACAGGTCAAGAAAGGAAGGGGTAGGAATGTGTTGACGTGACACTCGCTTTGATGGAAGCCGAGAACACCTCTGCACTTCCACGAGGAATCACAGGGATGTTGGGTAAGAGGGTTGGGTTTGCAGCAGGGTTCGTTTTGGTAAACGATAAGCTGAATTGATGTCCTAACCATCATATAACGCGAAGGAGCTTGGAATTGAACCCACGGTCTTCTGCTCAGTAAGCAAAAACGTTTGCCACTAGGCAGACGAGCTCCTTTTTAATCATCGAGTTGCTGTTATTATTATTATTATTATTAAATTTTATTCATCGGACTATTGTCTACATGAAACAACCTTAAAGCTAAAACAATTCAAGTGTTTCTAATCCGTGCCAAAAAGCGAGATGAAGATTCCCCAAATTCGAATAATTCTTCGACAGCCGTAAACGTACGCATCATAGTTGTTAGTGGTTCGTTGTAACCGAACGCCGTTCGATGGTACCGCGGTTGGAGAAGGGTACCACTTCGTAATGTTCTCGGTGGTACTCGGATATCCAACAGCGAGAGAAGCCTCGAGCAGTCGACCTCACCATTCAATAGTTTGGCAACAAAAACTGCTTGCTGATTTTTCCGTCGGCATTCCAGAGTATCCAAGCTCAGCAGATTGCAGCGATCAGAATACGGCGGGAGATTTTGCGGATCACGCCATGGTAGATTACGTAATGCTATCCTGATAAACTTGCGCTGAACACTTTCGATCCTCAAGCTCCAAGTCAACTGATGAGGAAACCAGACCAAGGAGGCATTTTCCAGGATTGGTCGCACAAGTGAGCAATAGAGAGCTTTCAGGCAATGTGGGTCAATGAAGTCCTTCGATATTTTTGACACAAAACCTAGCTGGCGATTCGCCTTTGTGATCAGAGCAGAGTGGTGGAGGTTGAACCTCAACTTATGGTCCAGTAGAACACCAAGATCGCTGAACTGGTCGGTTCTTTGAAGAACCACACTTGATGGCATAGTCACAAACAATCGGCTGCCTGATGCGGTAATACGACATTACCATACATTTAGGAATGCTGAGGGTAAGCTTATTCCGACGACACCAATCAACGAACAGATCCAATACCGATTGAAGACGAATGCAATCCTCAGCAGTCCGCACCACGAAGTACAGCTTTAGGTCATCGGCATACGCAAGCTTACAGCCATCTCCATGTAGAAGAAGTGCGTCGTTGATGTACAACACAAACATCAACGGGCCAAGATTGCTACCCTGTGGCACACGTGTGACGAGTTCGTGAAATACGAGGAAGTACTGGAATCGAGTTTCACTCGCAGAGACCTGTCAGTCAAGTAGGAGCACAACCACGAAGTCAAACGGTCCGACGCACCGAGTTTGGATAGGTTTGCCAACATAATGTCATGGTTGATCGTATCAAACGCTGCTTTTAGATCAGTGTAGATGACGTCTATTTGTGCCCCATTTTCCAGTTGCTCAAAACATGTGGTAAAATCTAGAAGATTTGTGGTAACCGATCGTCCAGGCATGAAGCCATGTTGGTCACTAGAGATATAGCATTTGGTGTGCTCAAGAATGAAACCACTCACAATTATCTCAAACAGTTTTGATGCTGCAGAGAGATTAGTAATTCCTCTGTAGTTTTTAACGTCACGTTTATCTCCTTTCTTGTGTACCGGAACCATAAATGACTCTTTCCAGATTGCAGGAAATTTCGACTCTACAAAAGATTTGTTGAAGATTCTGCAAAGCGGTTCAACAAGCGCCATTGCGTGGTGATACCATAGAGGTAACTCTAAGACCACTGGGTCCCGAAGAAAATCATTATTATTTTTGACTCACTCAGTACCAGAACAACGGTCCCAAGCAGTCCCAAGCTATTTCACTCACCCCTGCATGTTCTGCATGAATCCACACACCCCTGATGTTATCTGTCAAACTTTCATAGCGAATCAAAACAAACATAGTGTAGTAATAGAATTTCAACTAGAATAGGGTACGTTAATCGTTTGCTTGGGACCAATAGGCTACTAAAGTGGTGAACCAATTTAAAATCGTTAGTTTCGTATTGATTGTTGGTGATACGGTCAAAATTTGGTCAATATCAACTTGACGTATTTCTTTCAATTTTGCATTTAAAAAACCTGAACACCCCTCATTTTGAAGGTGTGTGTGTGTAGAATGTTGCTCCTATTTTGATTTTGGAATTCACTCTTCAGTTGTCAAAATGCCGTCCAAGCAAGAAGAGCAGCGTATCAAAATTTTGCTCGCGCATCGCGAAAATCCGAGCT